TTATTTGTGGTGCTCAGCAAGCCATAATATAGAGCTGCTTACTCACTTCAGTCTTCTCTGGGGTTCATGTGGTTTCTGCAGAGGTGGAGCTACTATGGTTTGTCAATTCACCCACTGCACCAAACCATGGTTTGCACTCCTTCAAAGCATAGTTTCCCATTTTGTTTCACTTGGCAATTGTAAGTCATGTTTCAGATCAATCTCTTCCTTAGCCATGGCTTGCACTGATGGTTGAAGTGAGCTCCTGTAAATCCAGAGGGGTAGGACCTGTTACTGCCACCTTTTCTCCCCCACTCATAGTGCTTAACTGTTTGCTCCTTCTCACACAGAAGTGGATGGTAGAACATAGATGTCATATACAGCAGTGTGCATAGGGTACCGTAATGGGGTAAAACCTGCCTTCCTCAAGAGATGCTGGAGTTATGTGGGAAGGGGGCTATTGCTCTTACAGGGTCCTCATAGTTAAGACTGCTGCAAGGAGAAGATCAGTGGAAAACCTGTGCCCCCCCCCCAGAAGTGGTTGAACTCTAAGTCCCATCAGACCTAGAGACAGGATCAGTAGTCACTGGTGATGGGAGCTGTGGCCCAATACAATCTGGCTCAAGTTTCTTTCTGCCGCTCCGTTTGTCCATTGTGGTGATTGATACCCAGCTTATCACTTCCTCATGATCCAATACTTAAGGTGCTTAGTTAGTGTGCATTGATGGCTGTGTGTAAAACTGCACACTTAGTAAGTATGATGTTGCAGTGATGTGAAAAACAAGGGATCGTGTCATTCAGTTGCTGCTGCACAACAGCAGGTCTCCAAAGCCTGAGGACTGTTGTGCAATAAAATGTATTGATCTATACAGCAAAGTTTTTTATTGTGTTTTGCTGCCTTGTATTGCATAGGACTCCCCAGAGTATATTTTAAAAATGCACTGACGATGGGACTTAAAAAATTAATCTAGATAAAAAGGACAAGGTTTATAGGCCTAAAGTAGTAAACTCAAGAATGATTTTAGGATGTGATGTGTGTGTGTGTATCTGAGATCTAGACAGATGTATAATAAAACAAATATTATGCACACTCTTTGTGGAAGTATGAATACAGTAATGGCACCTCTGTGCAATAGTACCAGAGATTTCTGACATTTAACCACTTGAGTGTGTCTCCTTTTGATAAAGAGCTTTGCTACTGCAAGCTTGATGGAGTGAAATTTAACTTTCGTTTCTTTGCGAACAAGGGAAATCATTTTTGAGAGAAATGGTTCTTGCTATGAACCTCTCATTCATTGTTGCTGGTTGGCTGTATAACACAAAGTTTGTCAAAAGCTTCTTTACTCATCTGGATGGAATGGATTTCTCTCTAGGAAATAAGAGGAGGGGAAATGTCCAATTCGTGTTCTGTTTAGTGAGTACTAAAGGCTCCAGGTGCTTTTGTACATGAATATTTCACTCACTGAGAAGTTGCAACGTGGGATTTGTGGTTTTATATATGATTTAACAATTAGGCTACAATCCTATTCACACTTATCTGGGATTTAGTTCCATTGAACTCAGTGAAGCTTCTGGGTGTACATGCATAAGCTCTTAATAATTCTGCCAGATGCATATTTGGTTCACAGTTGATCTGAGGAAAGCTTGCGTTCCAAGTGTCTGCTTGTTTGGGTGGCAGGTCTAATTGGAAATCTAGCTTGATGACCTAAGTCTACTTTTTTAGTATCACTTGCCCTGCATATCACAATTACTGGCCAGGTTACAGTGCCTGTGTCCCATTTATTTGTGCCTCTGGAACACAACCAGTGTTCTCTGTCTGGCAGCACAAGGACCGTTGGAGTAGTGGGTGGCTGAATTTAAAGGCTGCACAACAAAGGAATCCAGTGCAACAGCTGTGCTAGGAGAAGCTTTTTGTGCAAGATACTATTCTTGTTGCGCAATCCATCGTGCAACCACCTTTGTTAATTGACTTGCATTTCCCCTTGTGCAACAAGTATACTTCTAAGTGACTTCAACTTAGTGCTACATTGGATACAGCCCCTTCCCTTGTTACATGCTTGGGTTGGAGAACCTTTCTCATCCTGAGAGCCATATTCCCTCATGGGGAACCATTTAGAGGAAGCGTACCAGAGGTAGGCCAGGGCTAGAGGCAAAAGTGGGCAAATTGATGCATGTGCTAAAGTCAGAGCTTTCTACAAACACACATAGGTCCCTCCCTCCATGCATTATCATTATCTTCGTAGTTCAAGGGCATACAGCTAGGCAACAGCAGATGAGGGTGCAAAGCAAGGTTGGTGAGGGGTGTGATATGGTGAGAAGGATGGTGCCCTGGGGAGGGGGTGTGACCCAGGGAGAGTCCCAAAAGCCAGATACAGAGGCCTGGAGGTCCTGAGGTTCTCTACTTCTGTTATACACAATATATTCTATTTGTTTAATTTTAAACCTTGAACTTCAGTTGAGAAGTCCCATTGCTTGTATAACAGGAATGCTTGAAGTGGGTTGATCTGTTAGGGGTGGGGATTCCTGGAGTGTATTCAGATCTGCTGTGTCCTTCTCCCCTATTTTAAAGAAAATATAGGGGCTGGTGCAGCATAACCATGCGGTCTCATTCATGGACAAGAAGCACCTAACCTTTTGTTTCTGTGAGTAAGAGAGAGAGAGAGGTGCCACTTTCCTTCTTTTACATTGTAGATTAATATTCTTAGCCACAATTTATAAATGGCTTGATCCAGGGTTGAAAAATGTGAGAATTTTGATAGGCTAGATTGGAGTTGTTACCTGAGCCCATTGCACAGCATTCAGAAGCACCAGTCAGTTGATGAAGAAGGGAAGCTCAAAAGATAAATTGCTGTGGTCACTCTTGGAATGTGCTATGCTATACTGTAGTACAATATGCTTAAAAATGTTTCAGGAGCCCCATGAAAGCAGCATAGGTTTCATTCAGCTAGGTTACTGAGCTTGGACATGACATCATATTAGCACAATGAACCTAGTATAGATCCCAGAAATACGTTCTGAAGTCAGTTCGCTCCATTTTACAGGTGGGAGTTTTGAGGTGCACTGGGTTTAAACAATGTTATATGAAGGAGTTTCTTACCAGCATATTTTTGTACCAAGGACTGTATGGAAGGGAAGCTGGTTTCCTTCCACCGCGATGGGCCCAGTGAGTCAGACAGCAAAGAATTAGGGTGGCCATTTGCACATTGCCTAAAGCAAAAATGAAATGCATCACCACAAAAGAAGGGGAAGAGAGCAAAGATTTGCACAAAATTTACATGTGTAAATATTTATGAATAAATGCAAACTTAGAAATAATTTCCATAATTTAAGGCTATGACCAGAGGACAGGAGCTAACTGTTGATGAGAACCTCCAGGGTCCTTATCTTCCCTTGTTATGGTCAGTGGTGGCTTATGCCCACCCATTGGGTTTGGTAGGATGCAGGAAGACTAACAGTAGTTGGAGTCAGAGCCAGTGAAAGGCAGAGCCAACACAATGTGTCAGCTCAAGCCTTGAGTTTTCTGGGGGATACCCCGCTTGTGGCCCCGCCAGTCTGTTCTGCAATGACAGGACCTTATCTGTCATAGCACCCTATTTGTGGAACTCCCTTTCCCTGAAGAAGTGACTATTCCCATGCCTGTGTCATCTGAAGTCACATCTGTTCCTTCTTGCCTCTGTGACAACAATTAATATTTTACTGATTGCTGTTCTGTTGTACTGAATGTTTTGATAATTGAAATATTTTTGCTTGTGATGTTTGTTTGTTTTGTTTGGTTTTGTTTTTTGTTTTAGTTTATTAATGGATTGTGTTCATTGCTTTTTGTTTGAATGTGTTGTAAACCACCCCTGGGATATTTTGGGATAAAGCTAGCAATTAAATCAATAACGGCTGGGTTGCAATTAAATTAAAAGTTGGCTAGCAATTAAATTAATAATGACGTGGATCAGAATCTAGAATGCCATCCAGTCACACCCTGAAACAAGGGTGCATGACTAAGAAAATCCCTTTTCTCACCAAAGGTATTGAAGAACCATGGTTATCATGTTTAATTATGAGAGCTGGTGCAATGTGGTGACGAGATTTGTTTGCTTTGATCCTCATTGCCTGGGGAAGGTTGGGCTGAGAGGTAGCAACTGTCTCAAGGTCACACACTGTAAATTTTGTGGCTAAATGGGGGTCTGAATCCTGCTCTCACCTGTCAAATCCTCATTCAGCTTAGCAGGACAGTTGCTGCATCTCAGCCCATCCTTCCTCACAGGGTTCTTATGAGGGTGAATCAGAGGAGCCGCATACCGCCCTAAACCTTTTGAAAAAAGAGTGAAATCAAAATCTTGTAGATAGATGAGATTAGAACACTGGGTCATCTAGTAAAGTTGAATATTTGCTCTCTGAAATGGAATGCCACATTCCTAACCCCTATCCCCCATGCAGACCATCCAAGTGTCCCCATTTTCCAGGGACAGTCTCAGATTTACAGACTCAGTTTCTGATTTGATCCAGGACTGTCCTGCTTTCCCTTAGGATGTCCGTATTTTCTCTGGGAAAATGTTGGAAGGTATGGTAGGATGTCCCCATTTTCATCGGAGAAATGTTTGCGGGGTATAGAGTTATCTGACCCCCCAAGCCATCTGAAGGCAGCCCTGTATAGGGAAGTTTTTATATATATATATTTAATGTTTTATATATGTTGGAAGCTGTCCAGAGTGGCTGGGGCAACTCAGTCAGATGTGCACGGTGTAAATAGTAAAATTATTATTATGGAATAGAATTTCCCTGTTTTCATTGGAGAAATGTTGAAGGGTATGTCAAAGTTCAGAAAAGCAGATCACCCCCAACACTTGTTTAAGGGCCACTGGCAGTATCGGGTACCGAAAGAGTTAAGGCTGTAGGAGCTGGTTTTGAATACAGCCAAGGCCTCTATGCTATTCAGGACCTTAAAAAATCAATGCAGAGTGCATTACTATGCAAATCCTTTTGACAAAAGAGCTCTGAAAAGTTCATTTTCACTTTTGTTTCAACAGTTCACGACCAGGAAGACCCCCCAAGCGCTCTCTGGGGGTTGCAATACAAGAGAACACGCGCCTACTGCCCCACGGAGTACCAGGCCTCTTATCACCAGGACTTATCTCCCCAACAGGTAATAAAATCCATTGGATGATCGGCTCTGTCTCTCCGTACTGCACAGCAGTTGAAATAAACTAATATTGATCTAACTGCCTTGTCCTTCAGGGCTTTTCAAGCTTTACCAGAGGTTACGCTATTGGATTTTTTGAGCATTCATGAAAAACCCCGTGTGGTGTTGCTGTGCTGACTAAAACCTAATGGATTTGCGATTTAGTTCTTCATTAATCGTAATTTCCTTAAAGGGAAAGTGCCATTAGATACTTGGCTATATGATACAGGCGGAGGCAGGGGTAGGATGCTGATCTTCAAACGGCCTCATAGGCTGTATGAATACCTTCTCTTAAATGTAGTGGGGTGGGCGAAATTATTCTTTCTCTTGCTCTGTCGAAACACATGGAAACCAACTGTCCAGTGCTCTGTCGAAACACATGGAAACCAACCGTCCATAGGCAGAGTAGGCACTGGCCTTTTAAATAATATTGGTTTGCTCTTGAAAGAAAATTACTATCAAGCTTTCTTAGTTCAAAGGCCATCCCACTTGAGCGTGTACACGAGAAACCTCCAGAAACTACGGTAAGCTTTCTGTGAGTTGTTGTGTTGCAAGTTCCTGCCAACTCCGGATTCTAATAGAATATTTGTGAGTACTAGGAGATAATTTGCAAGGGGGGGGAGGGGAGAAAGATTTTGACTGCCACAGGGTTAATCCGGTGCTGCAACCATGATCAAAGAGGACCTTCATGCATGGTGATAGCTGTGGGTAACACGAGTAATGTTTCCTGTGGCAGACCATGCAAGATGTAGGGATCATACACATGTGTACATAATGCCTTTGAACATCTGGGTAGGCAGTGCTAGGAGAGCTATCACAGAGGTGGGTAACAGGAACCAGCCATGGGCTAAGCTTGACCCATTTTCAACAATGACAGACGACCCGTTTTTGCTGTCCTGGTTTGAAATCAAACTATGAAGGCAAGCACATTGCTTGGAAAGCACCGACAAACTGCTGATCATTCGTTTGGGTCTTGCAGTGTGCTGTGCATGCAGTGCTTCACAAGGCCTGACAGTCAGCTGGTTATCGGTGCTTGTAGGGCACGATGAACAGGGCACTGTAAGATCTAGTGATCAGCTGACATCAGGTAGGGGACAGGCCAGCAGGGCTTAGCCAAAATGCCCTTCCATTAAAGGTAAAGGGACCTCTGACCATTAGCAGCACATGGAAACACCGTTTACCTTCCCGCTGGAGCGGTACCTATTTATCTACTTGCACTTTGATGTGCTTTCGAACTGCTAGGTGAGCAGGAGCAGGGACTGAGCAACGGGAGCTCACCCCGTCGTGGGGATTCGAACCGCTGACCTTCTGATCAGCAAGTCCTAGGCTCTGTGGTTTAACCCACAGCGCCACCCGCTCGCTTCGGCAGCAGATAAACTAAAATTGGAATGATACAGAGAAGATTAGCATGGCCCTTCCATTAGCTGGCCGCTAATTAATTAGGTCCTTGGTCTGGGGGTTCCCCACCACTGGGTATCATGTACAAGAGGGCAAAGACTTGTTCTCTGTTGCCGCAGAGGGCATGCCTGCATCTACAGGATGGTAGATTTCATTTGAATATTAGGAGACATCTCAGCCCCCATTATGTACTTTGTGTTTAAAACAGCATCATACCACTTCAAGCAGTTGACTTCCCCACAAAGAATCTTAAGAACTGTTGTTTGCTATGGGTGCTGAGAGTTGTCAGGAGTCCCCTATTCCCCTCAGAGAGCTACAATTCCCAGAGGGATTGGTTCTTTTTTAACCACTCTGGAAACTGGAGCTCTGTGAGAGAAACATCAGTGCAGCTCAAGGATTTCCCACAGTTGTAATGTACGGTGTTGTTCAAAGGCAAAGCAAAGGACCTAATACCACAATGTATACCAGTGCCATTATTGTGACTCAGATAAAATGTCGTGAAATGTTGTGAGCCTGCTTTTGGGCACCCCAAAAGTCTTCTTCAGACTTTGAGTTTTGTACAAATGCATATCCATCTCAACTTTTACTGGAAGTTACAGTGTGGTCAAACTCTCCCTGAGTAGTTTAGATTGATGGTTGAAGATCTCAGGTTTTTGTCTGCAAGGAGTTGTGGTAGGTTTGTGTACCATTCCAACATACAACAACCACGCCCCCTGGATGTAGTCTGAAGACATAAAGTCCAGGATCTTGTGATGATTGGTATGTTTGGACTTAAGTAAAGCTTGAAAGAGAAATGGGATACCACCATTTTGCCCTGCTTAGAGATCCCAACCCAACTGAGTGATCTGGCTAGCGCCTGTGGACAGAATGCTGAACTATTGGAAGAATTGGACTGACTCAGTTTGACCATTCTCCTTATAAGCTGGGAACATTGGCAGATGTGAAAGAAATGCAAAATCACTTCCAATATGCGTTTATTAAAAGGGCAGAAATCGGGACTGGTTGACAAAGATATTTCACAACTGCCATGTAATGACTGCTTTAAATTACCCCATGGCTGGCTGCTAATTAAAGGTGCAGGAACACACACACACACACACACACACACACAGACACAGAGCTATGGGAAACACTAGCGTTAATGCTGATGTTTATTGCAACAAATGCATGAAACATGGCCATCTTATGCATGCTCACCTTTAAACATCTAAGTGTTATACGTAAGGGAGGCAGGATTTGGTCAGTATCCCCAAACATATGCTACATGCCCCAAAGTGGAGACGATTAAAAGCAGCAGCTTCATGTGGCATGCGAGACATACCATTTTAGCCATCTATATGATACAAAATGTGAAGCAAACTGTACTCCTTTAAAACGACTGTTTCACCCACCGTCTCTGCGGAGACTTGTTCTCAGTGACAAAAATTCTGCTGCGAATTACTTTGATGTTTGTGGCTAATAAATTAATATGATTAAGTTAATGAGCAGCACAAATGTTGCCAAACTCCACAAAGTCCATCTTTTGATTCCTGCTCTCTACATTTGCAGTCCTGCCTTTCCCCCTGTGGTGAGAGGATCGTTGCTTCCTACGCACTGTCACTGTGATAAATGGCAGATCCCACAGTACCCTGTGTTCCATCTGGTGTGCCCTCAAACTAATCCAAAATGAGAAGTATTTTATACAGATCGCACGCTCATGAGTGATGCCTTGCAGGGATCATAGGAAGATCTGATTATTTTTAGTTTTAAACTTTCCTCTGATAACAAAGTTGTTCAAGAATAGTATCTAGGTCTGCAAGCTGTAATAGTTAACTTGATCAACTGAAGCTAAATTGGAGTGGGCAAATTTTTGATCTGTGGGGCTGCGAGTTAAGGGAATTCACAAGGTATGTTGGTTGTGCTACAGCACCTGAAAATACTGCCTTTCTCCCAAGTTTTTAAATATCTCTTTTCTCTCAAGACTTCTGTCTCTTTCTTTCTCTCTCTCACCCTCTCCTGTCCCACCTTCCTTAAACATTTTGTTCCTTTCTTTAAACATCAAGCCCGTGCATTTGTTCTTTTTAACATATTTATTGCAAAACTCCTAATCCTTGAGGTGATTGTTGTTGCTATTTTTACTTTTAATGTAATGACTGAATAGCTTGTCATAGTGGTTGCTGCTGCTGCTGCTATTACTTAAGACCCCATGTCATCTTTGATGTTACCTGCATGGTGGTAGGTAACGGGGAGGCTGATTGCATAAGCTGAAACCAATCCCACAACACATCACAAACTATGACACTACATGCTTCGTTTGGAACTACAACTGCAGAGTCAAGGTCACCCAAAATCAAGCAGCTTTATCCTCAAAGTATATAGCCACTTGGACACAGCTCCGTAGGCTGCTTCCCTACGGTGGGAGGCAGTAACCTCCAGACCATCTAAAATAACTCTGCTGGCTGACTACTAGAGGATGCAGTGCAAGCTGTGAAATGATCATTCTTTGCAGCCCGCATTGCCTCATGGTAGGTATGATTATGCACGCTAACCAGTGTTTGGTTGGCTTCTGAGCAAGACATGTACAAGTTGTGCTAGAGTCTCTGTCCAGCATTTTTCAGAGCCTGAAGCTCCGCAGAATACAGTGTTGGAGTGAATGCTTTGGAATCATGTCAACTGCTTAGCAAAACTAGGGCTTTGACAGATCATCAGCTTTCTCTGCAGTAAGATACCCCAGAGTCAGAGAAATACCTAAAGGACAAAGAAAAACAGTAATGTTCCCCATAGCTTCTGTGTCCCAGAGCAACCACTGCCTCAAAGACTTGGTTGACACTTGGCATTAGATTTATGGGGACTGATGCACTTAAGACAGGGTGATATTAAAATTCATTTTGAAAGCATGGCAATTGTAATAGTAGTGTTCCATATTATGGAAGGAGATGTGGAAGTTATAGTTTTCTCATTTTTTAATTTATTGTATTTCCAAGGCAGTAGTACTCCTGCTAGTTTGTGGTCTGTTATTGCATTGGGATGTTGGCTCAAGGATTGCCTTAGTATCTAGACTAGAAGCTAAAAGAGAGTCATGTTTTATCATAAAAAATGTTAAGTGGTAATGGCAGCTCTTAGAATAACTTGACTGATAGTGATACCCCCTTTAGTCCATACAATTGAGAGGAACAAAGTAGGCGTTTATTTGCTTTTGACATAAGAAAAGCAAGCCATCATGCTTTTTAAGATGTACAGAATCCCAAATTAGATAAATATTTGCTTTACAGCATAGCATTTAATGTTATGTTTGCCATAATTTGCTGCTATTTTGACAGGCCACAAATAAGAAGTTAGTCTAACACTCCATAAAAATGCAATAAATTAGATACTACTTCCCCGGGAAATAATTATTCCACGTATTTATGAATTGTGCGGGGATCTGCAGTTTGTATCAGAGCTATTCATTTTCTCAGTCAGACTTAAGTAACGAAAAGATAGAGGTGGTGGTGGGGGGGTTTTTTTGGGATGGGTGGAGGGTTTTGCATCATCCAGATTTTTGTGCATACAGTGGTACCTCTAGTTACGAACTTAATTTGTTCCGG